AACATGGTGTATGTGTATGGAAAGTTTGACTTCTGGATTTCCATTTTAAAATATGCAGCCTCCTTATAATTTTAAAAATCTGGAATCCTAAACCAATAAATAAATTGGCACATTTGGCATGAAATAAGAACAGTATTTGATTACAGTTATGCAGTTTGTGATCCCCTCATTTGGAATAAATTCCGAATGAATGGTTTGGGGATTTCTTGTTCAGACAGAAGAATAATAGCAACAATAAAAGACAGAATTCATATAGCACTTTAAGGTTTACAAAGCACTTTACAAACATCATTCTTTGATCTTCACAACTACTGTGAGAGGTAGGTGATATTATTACAGTCGTTTCACTGATGAGGGAACTGAAGCAGACAAAGGTTAAGTGAGTTGCACAGGGTCACATAGCTTGGTGAGTTTCTTGAGGCTGGATTTGAATTCGGGTCTTCCTGACTCCAAATCCAATACTCTATCTATCCACAGTATCACCTAGCTGCTTCTAGAGGAAAGTGAAAAGTTGAAGGAGGGAGAACCTTTGATTCTTCTAAGTTAGTTATGAATCAGCTTGTTTGTTGCCCAAGATTAGATTTTGGAGCAAGGGTAATAGAATTCAGGCTAACATGGTGAGTCATAGGCAGAGGGGTCATCAATGAATCCAACATTTAAAAAAAAAAGGAAGGATACTGTTCATCGCAAGCAGAAAAAAAAAATCATTCAGGCAACTAACCAATATTTATTGATTACCATCCAAAACTGTGGTAGGCACAATGCAAGAAAAATGAAAGATGTTATCATTGTCTGTCTCTTTTGGGTTCCAGGAAGTCAATAGGACATACATACGTATTAAGTACCACCACATGTATGTAACTACTGGGCTAGGAACAAGAAAGCAAAAGACAAAAAGCAAAAACAAACAAAAAGTTCCTGCCCTCAAGAAGCTTAATTTATGCATGTCCAAAAGTTTACTTTTCAGAGGAAAGTATTAACTTAAAATTTTAAAAGTAAACAGTACAACAGAGTATTTTATTATCCCATTAAAAATAAGCCCAGTGAACAAAGAAATTTCATTTGTCTTTATAAAATTTACAAAGATAGGATGTTCTCTAGCTTTTTTATTTCTTAACAGGTGAAGGTTTCTTCCTACAATGCTCTATTGTATATATTACAAAGTCTTTAGGGGCTTCAATATTAAAGTGTCAGAGTTTTTTAAGCACACTTGAGAAGGGATTTTTCCCTCTTCCTCTTAACATGATATGCCTTTTTAGACTTCTCAGATAATTCCAGTCATCTTGACAAAGGAAAATCACCAAGACAATAAAATGATTTAACAAAAGGGAAAGAATGACAGTTTCCCTTCTACTTTTCAAAAATGTTTTATAATATGATATGAGATTGCCTTTATTAAATAGACTGGTAGAGGAATCAACTTTTACAATGTGACACTTTTTGCAATAAAGAACACCTACACTTCTTTGCAATACATCCTTTCCCACACATAATTAGCAGCACTGTTATTATTGCTACTATTATATTCCTTGTTCGGTATAATTTCTCTGGAAATGAAAATATAGCTTTGTTTGGAGTCAACCTGGCAATAAACAATAATATGTGAGCTGTAGTTATTTGTCATGCTTTTAAGAATTCCTTTTCTCTATTTTACATTTTTTTAAATTTTTATTGCTTCCTCTCCCCAATTCCCTGATTTTTTTTTCACATAGTTCAAATTCACAAGGTACTAATTTAGTGGTTCCTCAATGAGGAAACAGGGGAAACTAATGTGAGTTCCCTTTTAGGGGAGACACTAGAAAATTCACAGTCCCCAAACAGGATACTTTTTTGGATTACAAAGGAAGTAAGGGAAAATATAGGAAAAGAAGTAACAGTGTCAATGACTTCTTTTGGTTATTGCCATACAAATTGCTCCCTAAAATGGGTGTTTCCTAAAAACTGGGAGTAATTCACTAACAAAATCCCATCTTAAATTGTAGGAAATTTCTTTGGATAGTAGCCATCTCCCCCAATCTATCCTGAGGAATACCTTTCCTTGGGAAAGGGCAGAAGTCTGGAAGATCAGAAAACATTTGTTAGCCTAACCTGGCATAGCACTGGAGAATCATTAGGGTCTCTAGCAATCATCATCCCCACTCTTCCCATAACTTTCTTACTATTTCTGGTCTAGTAGATAATTATGACACCCAAGGTTGGTATGGTAGAGTAGAAAGAAAACTTGACAGCTTCAAAATTCCTTGGTCCAGTGGTACAGTAGGGACAGCAATGGACTCAGAGTCAGGATAGATCTGAGTTCAAATGCAGCCTAAGACACTTAACTAGCTGTGTGACTCTGAGTAGGTCATTTCAACTCAAATGAGATAATATTTATAAAAAGCATTTAGCACAATGTCTGGCCCAGAGGAGGCACCATATAAATGCTTATTCCTTTACTCCTTCACCTTCCTCTTGTAGCTTTGGTTTCTTTATCTGTAAAATGGGGATATTAATAGCAACTTTTTCCTAAGCTATGTCGCAAAAATGGTACTAGTCTATCATCTCTATATGCAAAATGTCTATCTTTTTTGCCCTAAGTGTTATTACATATATTTAGTTTCTCTCTGATTGTGGGCCATTATGTTCCTATGAACTCTGTTGCCCTTGTACCAAAATATAATCTTGAACCTCAAACTTATTTATAAAAGTATAAAGTAAAAGTAACAAAATTATGAAAGTCCACCAGGAATTTTTTTGTGGGGAGAAATAAAACTACTGACATCCTGACCATCAACCTCAGCTAGGATCTTTAATCTTGACACAACTCTTAGTGTCGTTGAGTATGATAAAAATTTTTAGTTTTTAGTTTTCATTTTAGGTTTTTCAACCAGCACAGATTAGAGAAAGACTCTCCCAATGGTTTGCTAAGCTAGTGACAAGACAAAGCCATGTCAAAAAGTCTCTCCACACTCCTCATCTTGCTTAGCCCCTCCACTGAGCTATAAGCAAGGACTAATCTAAGTAGCTTTAAAAGACTGATCTTCCTATATTGCACAATTGCATGAAAAGCAAGGGGAAAAGTGTTTTGTGCATTTTCAAAACCCGTACACAACATTATTTTTCATAAAATACTAGTAGAAACCATTAAAGTAAAGAAGTCTAACTGAGGGACAGATTGAGAAGAATGAGTTTGGTCAGACCAGGGTGGGAAGGAGGGGGCTGACATAATTGTTTATTAGAAAGAACACTGAATTTGGGATGATAAAAGAGTTTGGTTCCCAAGGGGGCAGCTAGGTGGCGCAGTGGATAGAAACCTGAAGTTAGGAGGACTGAGCTCAAAATTGGCCTCAGACACTTGACACTTCCTAGCTGTGTGATCCTGGGCAAGTCACTTAACCCCATTGCCTAGCCAAAAAAAAAAAAAAAAGAGTTTGGGTTCCTGATTCCAAAACTTAGTAGCTATGTGATGCTGGGTAAGGCACTAAATCTCTCTCAATCTCGTTTTTCCCTCTTGAAAAATGGGGGTGGAAAAACTTGTACCGCCTACCTGACAGATGTTATGAGGAAAATTCTTTGTAATCTTAAAGAATTCTATAAATGCAAACTCTATATTATATAATCCTGAATGTAAACATTCTGATATGTCAAATTTGAAAAATCAGGAATAATTTTTGGAATTCTGAAAAAAATTAATGACCTAAACAAATATGAACATACACATACACACAATCTGCCAAATGGGAGGAGACAATGGTTTTTACACATAGGAGCAGAATAGAAAATAATTAAGAGAAAAAATTTCCCAGTTCTACCTGAAAAGTAAACTAGAATTGAATTAGGAAATCTGGTCAATAGGGTGAAAAAGAACCTGAGAAACAAGAAAAGAAACTCTGAAGAAGGAACTGCATCCTGGTAGTATGTATGATTTTGGCTTTACCACTTGGGCTTTCCTAGGTGTTCAGTTATCTCCATAAATTATTAAGGAGTTCCCCACAAGAGTTCCGTTCTGTTTTTATTTTTTTTGTTTTTAAGAGTTCCATTCTTTAAAAAATTCCAGCAGCAGATGTCATACTGGCCAAACTTCAAATTTAGGGCACTGAAAATGGTGACTTGTACAATACTATTTATATAAAATTCAGTTACAAAGGAAGCCCCAGTTTAAGTTTTCTATCTATCTAATTAAATGGTCACTGTTTAATCTGACAAATAGGCACATAAAATAATGTACTCAATTTAACATATATATATGTATATATATATGTGTGTGTGTATATGTGTAAACAGGACAAATTCAACTACTAAAGTACCAATAATACCTGATTTAAGAGTTAGATATTTTCCCCAAAACTATTTTAGAATTCTATCCCTGGTTATGCCCAGATGCAGCAAAAAGGATAAATCAAAAACAAGGCTTATTTAGCTACTAGCATTTGCAGATTGCTAAAAGTTCTGAATTTCAACATCAAAGTCACATGCAAATGTGTGAATGGATTTGATCCTGATTAAACCCAGTTGTCCCATAGAAACAAAGCTTAGTCAATAATGAAATAATGTACTTTCTAAAAAACAAACAACAGCAGTTCACATTTATATAGTGCTTTGTGCTTTTGACTATTTCATCTGTAACAAACCATGTTGAACAGAAACATATGAAAAGTTATTCTATTTTTTACTTGTAACCTAGAGGAAATGTTTGGCAAATATCTCTAAAAATAGTCTAATAATATTGTGTAAATAATAATATAATTAACAAGGATATATGAAGACAAATTCCTCCTCAGGGATGAACAGGATACTTGAAGTTTCTTTCAAATATGATGAGATTCTGAGATTCTATCTGGCTCATTTTACTGAATGAAAACTGATGAAGAAATAAGCCAACCCCATAATATATATGTATGTATGTGTACGTATATGGGTTTATGTGTGTGCATGTATGTGTGTTTGTGTGCTTGCATGCACATGTATATATGTATCCATATCCTCTCAGGTATGTAGAAAATCACTTCTGAACAACTCACCTTGATCCCTTTCATGCCATGTCCGACTTGCAGCAGCTGGAGAATTTGGAGAAGGATAAAAGTCTCCTGTAGGACTTGGTTCCATATTTTCATCTATGGATATAGTTTTGGGTCTTTTGCTGTTGAAAATAATAATAACAATTGTTTTAATAAGATTTCTGGAAAAGAATCATCTCCAATGATACTTTATTGCTAAGGCTATCAAGTGGTTGAAGAAAATTTTGTGAAAGGAAATTTCAAGGACTGTGACTAGGACGAAAAGGAAAATTGTTTTATGACTGAGATCTGTTGGGAGTGTTATAAAATATCAGTATACATTTTAAATCATAAATAATAGCAGGCACTTATAGTTGTATATGCCAATAATGTATGTATGCATGTGTATCACAAATCACATATATATACATATCATTTAAATATATCTGTATATGTATCTATAATCATATAATAAGCATGATATAATCATGTCTGTGTATCATATAGGTATATATACATGTACGTATGTGTGTGTATATGTACATATGAAACAGCATAAAATTTGTGGTCTACATTTCTGACCTTTTCTGCTCTATTTCCAGAAAGCATTAAAATGTGAAAGAAACTTACGGATGTTTAAAGTTTTACCCATTAGAATTCTTGTTTTCTGTTATTAAGGGAGCATCCTCTCTCTTCTAGCCTACAAAGTCAGACTATTGACCAAGGTCATTCCTGAAAAAGACTGCTTAAGTGAATTGAAAGTGAAGAGTTTAGATTTAAATGATGCAATTTGTTTAAGAAAAAGTAACTTTTCTCAATCAGAACATACTAAATCTATACATCCCCATAACAGAGGAGAAAAAAATATTGTTTTTAAATGTGAAAGGTTATAATGTTTGATGTCTTCCTCCCTGCCACCCTATCAATCAGATAACTGTAGCCATGAACATGTTTGTTTTTTATTACAAGTGGTTATTTGTTATATCAGGCTCCTCAGAACCATAACTAGCTATTTTAGAACATGAGGCAAGGCAGCATACTTGCCTTCAAATCAACCTGGCAAAATACGATGTAAAAATAACTCAAGTAATTGAGGCAAGTTCAGTCAAGTGGAAAAGGGAAACATTTACTGCAATGACTTCTAGCTGCTGGGGGAGTACATGTATTAATTTTTGCACCCTCTAAATTTCAGTGCCCTAGTACCTCAGGGCAACAATCCACTCACCCTATCCTTGGTATAGTTCTAGTATTCCTTCCAATTAATGGACATGAGAGGGTTGGAACCGTGTCTATTGAAATATCACTGTATTGAGCTAATAAATAAGCATTTTGTACATATTGTAAGCTCCAGAATGCTGCAATACTCTTACCTAGATGAAAATATAATTTAGACTTTGTGTTGAATTATAAAAAGAGCAAGTAATGTATTAATTTATTCTTCCATGTGTAGTTCAGAATGTAACTTTATACCATCTAATCTTCATTCAGTTCAATTCTGTCATTCATGGGTCAGAGGTCAAGATGTCTTAATCCTGCAGAGGAAAGCTGCAGGGGTAGGTGGGAAAAACAGAGGATAATGTTCACAGTAATGCAGCAGTGGAATGATTTCAAGGCTTCTGCTGTTCTGGAGAGCATAATGTTGGAATCTTTTTGACCACAAGGAGAGAATTAAGTTGATGATCCCCTCAGCAAAATGTAAGTAAGTAATTGCCCTAAAGACAGGGTTTTGTTTGTTTTTTTTCTCATTTTTGCTGTATATCCCGCGCCTAAAAGAGTGCCTGTCTACGTGGTGCTTACTACATACTTGTTGATTTGATTTTTAAAATATGATTTGACAATATCTTTGTCAGGTCAGAAGGGAAGTAATTTTTGCTCAATTAGAAAATTAAAAGCATTTTCCCTGGCATCAGCAAGTTAATCATCATGTTGATCTATACAATCTATATACATAAACAGACTCATTATTTTATAGTCACGTGGCATATTATATCTTTAGTACAAACACATGCAAATGCATGAGTACTTAACTAATTCAAATACAATCAACTTCCAATCTTCTAGAAGAAGAGGATAAAAGGAATACCAGTCAAAATAATCAGTGATAGCACAAAAACCATTTATGTCTGGAAAACATATTGTTATTTGAATGTGGGGAGGAGTGACATTCTGAGAATGTGCAACATGTCAAATGAATTAATGAAACCACGAAGCAAAGACTGTTGAAAATAAGCTGTTAGTTGCAGAGCATCTCTCACCTGATCCCCAGTCTCAATTCTTCTCCCTAACCCCATTACAAAAGAGGGTGACCAAAATCAGCTATTAGACTGATAAACAGTTATTCCTAATGGCTGGTAGTTTTATCAGGAAAGGAACCCCCAAATCTCAAACCATACAGACCCAAAGTGTAGTCATCAATTTGGTCACTGTCAAATTGCAAGGAATTATCCACTGTAATGCTCCAGAGATATGTCCTTAGCCCTATGTAGTTTAAAGTTTTTTTACTAAAAACTTGGATAAAGGCATGGTTATGAAATTATAGATGACAAACAGAGTCAGGACCCAAAAAGATGTCAACAAGTTAGAACCCTGGGCCATACTCAGTAAGATGAAATGTAATAGGAATGAAAGTTAAAGTCTTACACTAAGGCTAAAAAAAAATCAGTTTCACAAGTACAAGATGAGTACAAGATGCTAGACAGCAATTCGTCTTTAAATAATTTGAGGGTTTTGGTAAATCACATAGAGTCAGACATGATTGAATGACTGAACAACAACAACAACAAAAATGCTCAATATAAACCAATAATGTGCTATGGCAGCCCCCAAAAGAAAATGTTATCTCAAGCTGCTTTAACAGAGGTATTGTTAAAACTATGGAGGTGACTGGTCTGCTCTATTTTGCCCTAGTAAAGAGAGGAGGAGATGGAAGAAGGGAGAAGAAGAGATGGAAGTTTGGGAGTTATAGGATATGAGGAGAAATTTGGAAGCAAAAGCATTAAAGAAAGAAAAATGAAGGGGTCACTCTCAGAGAACCTAAGATAAATCAGTGGGTAAGTTAAGTGGAGGGAGAACATTTGGTGCTTAAAAAAGAAAAATCCTAGCTCCATCTACATGGCAGTAAAGACGAGGCTTAACTATTATTAGAGATCTCCCTCTTTGTCTCAAAGACGTAAATTCTTTGTCCTTCATCCTTCATCCTAGAAGGATGGACGGTCTATATTATTGTCAGTTCCTCATTCTTCTTCAGCCCACATAACCAGTAAGTTCTAAATCTTGCTATTTCTAACTCTAATCTCTTATATCCAACACTTTTTCTATATTTACACAGTTACTATCTTAATTCAGCACCTCATCACCTCTCATCTAGATTAATGCAATCGTTTCCAAAATGGTCCCTCTGCCTCAAATTCATTTCCACTCTGGTTTGTCCTACAACCTGCTGCCTTCAGCAAAGGTCTGACCATTTGACTCCCCTACTCAGCTCCAATTGCTCACTATTGCCCCTAGAACCAAATGTTAAGGTCTCTGATTATCTTTTAAAGCCCTTCACAACCTGGGTTCATCCTAACTTTCCAGCCTCATTGAACATTATTGAACATATATTTAACAAGCTTTTTGTCTTTTTGTTCCCCACAATCCATGCTCTATCTGCCATCTTTGTCTCCCACAACTGAAATGTGCTCCCTCCTTACCTTCAACTTGCTGAGTCCCTCTTTTCTTTCATGAAAGCAGCCCCTGCTACATAAAGTCTTTCCCAGTCCTCTTAGCTGCTAGGACCCTCCCTCCCAGACTAACATATTTAACTACTTCATGTTTATATTTATATTTTTTATGCATATGACCAGGCAAAGCTAAACTAAAATAAAGGGCTGGTATCTGGGTATTCAGAAGAACAAGATTTCACAGAATGTGAATTATTGTTATTATTATCACCTATTATGACTAACAATTCACATTTCTCTAGCAATTTTAAGTATACAAAGCATTTTTCTCTTGACAACTTTGCAATATAGGGAGTGTAAGTAGGAATATGTTCATGTGAGACTCAGAGGAATTAAATACTTTGCCCAAAGCCACACAAGTAGTAAGTGTGAGCACCTAGTCCAGGGGGTCCTAGCATGAATCACTTCAGCATAACAAAACCCATGAAGCCCTTCTCAGGTGGTAGATAAATGGGAGTTCACAAATTAAACAAAGCCAAAAGACCATGGTGAAAATCTAAATCGACTGTTTCCTAAGATATTGCTTTTCAAACTTTTCACATCTGTGGAATTTATCTGTAATGTTTTAAAAATATTATCTCTACCAAATGAGATGATGTTTGTAAAGGGCTTAGCACAGTACCTGACACATATTAGGGATTATAATAAACGTGTGGTTCTCCCCTTCTCTTTTTCAAGCATGTCCCTAAATTATAACCTTTGGAGCAGAACTGAAATGGATATCTTTGCATAACAACATGTTTTAAATAACTCCCAGAGATGTCTCATGGAGTTGTAGGATTTCATGAAATGATTTAAAAATCACTGTTCTCTTTGTTATTGGGAATATTGAGCTTTTTCTCATTATTCATTCAATCATTTAAAAAAAGATTTTAAAAAGATGATCTTATAGAACATTATGCTAATTGATACTCATGTAAAGATGAATTCAAGAAAGTACCAGAACATTGTAAAAATCGGCAGGAATTATGAGATACTTGGTTTTCTCTCTTTCCCATCAAAGTGTTAAAATGCTACAAATATGTAAACATATAAGAACTTTACCTGCTTGGTGGAGAAGACAGTGACCTTTGTAGATTTACACCGGAGTTCATGTCATGGTAGTATGGCTGGCTCGGGATCTCTCCAATTGGGAAGTTTACCCCAGTTCCCTGGGTTATAGGTGCTGAAGTATGAAAGAGATGACATATAAAATTAACATTTTAATTCAAATTTACTAGCCTATAGAGGAGTCTTGCAAATAAATATAAAGTATTTATCAGCATATACTAATATTTGTTTACATTTATTCCTAAACTAGTAGGAAAGTAATGCATTAAATAAGACTTAGACACACACACACACACACACACACACACACACACACACACACACAGATACAATATGGCCAGGTTTCTATGGGCTTCTAACTGCAAAGCTAAGTCAGAGCACCAAACATCTTTGAAATATGTTTTCCTGTTCCATTTTTGTGTACATCATTTTGTTTACTATTATCCAGAAAAGTTATTACAACACATATTTGTAAATCCATTTATTTTAATACACTAGATGAACTCTTAAATAGCTATCTCCTTTTTTAATACTTCAAGTACTAGAGAGAAGCTTGCTTTAATTAAAAAAAAACACTGCAATGTGTCCTTTCATAATTCAAAGACTCCTTTGGTAGTGTGAATTTACCTCTTAATGTATGTTTTATAAATCCAGACGTTTACTTTTATTAAAGCACACCACATCTGCAATATCCCTCCCAAAAAAAAAACCCTCATGTTTTATTCTCTTACATGATTTCTTTCCCTCCCCTTCCCCTAGTCTCAAATTTTTTGGATTACATATGGGATTTTTTTTCCCTCCTCGTAATTTCCTCCTTCTGGCTACCATAGTTGTCAACATAGCAAGAACAGTTCTGAGGACTTGGTAAAAAACAGTTGAAAAGACATAAATTACCCTGTCTGCCTTAAGTTCATTCATTCAACAAGTTATTTATTGTGCCTATTGTGGGTACAGCACTATGAGAACCTGCAGTGAGGATGCAAAAAAAAAATTTTAAGACACAATTGGTCTCTACCCTTAATAAATTTAGTGACTAGCTCAGAGGACAAGGCATATGGGTGTGAAATGCTTAAATTACAATGTCAGACACTGAATGATTAGGCAACAAAATAAGCAGTAGAGACACTAAGTGCTTTTGGAGTTAAGAACCCAGGAAAGATCACTGTGGCCTATAATGCCTGAAGAAAGCTTATGGATAAGGAAGGCCCTGAGTGGGCCCTAAAGGTAGGTTATGACTTGGATTGGTAGAGAAAGGGGGAGGGCATTCTGAGCAATGGGTGTAACATGAATAAAGGCGCAGAGATGGGCATGAACATGGATGCTCCAGGAACAGTGAAGAGACCTGCCTAGATGAAATGAATGGAAGGGTTTTTAAGAACTGTTTACATTTCTGCTAGCCTAGAGAAGCTCAGCATGGGAAAAATCATGCTACAGGCTGCAATATATCAATGGGAGTATCCATAGGATTCCCCCTGTAATCATTTTCTCTCTCCTTCCAACTACTCCCAAATTAATTTTACAAAAAAAGTATGATAATATTATAAAATTTTTATATTATATGGTGTCAGAGTGGTTTTAGATTTTGGAGGATCTCTTTCTCAGACCTGTTATAAACATTCTGAATTATATTATATTAACAATATAATTCAGACCAATGGATAGCTCCACCAAGTTAAGCTTTTTTTCTTAATGTCTCTTTATACAAATATTATGAACAGGCCACAAGTCTAGTGGTACTTCTCATCATAGTGAATAATGTCCTTATGAGGAATAACTCTTTTTGCCCATAACAAAATTAAACAAAACAAAAAAATCATGAATAGTTAAAGATACTCTTCTGGGGACATCTGCCTTTAGACATCAATATATCTATTGTTTTCTGTATAGTGTGTTTTAACCTCCTTTTATACTTCAAGCATAATTGTATGCTGTGTAATTTGATGTCTAAAGGTCTGAATGCTTTTGACAGCTAAAGTACAGTTCTGTTTGTTGTGGTTTGAGGTATACGGGAGGTTAAGCAAAGGCAAGGTAAGAAATCCCACCATAACCACAAGCTTTTAAGTTTATTATTAGAATAATATTATGTGTAACCCTGGGAAGTTCTCTGTGTGTGTGTGTGTGTGTGTGTGTGTGTGTGTGTGTGGAGAGAGAGAAAGAAAGAGAGAAAGAAGAGAGGAGAAGAGGAGAGGAGAAGAGAGGAAAGAGAGAGAGAGAGAGAGAGAGAGAGAGAGAGAGAGAGATGGGAGGTGCTGGTGCTGAGTGAAATTAAGAAATCTTGCTTTCTGATGGAAGGCTGTAGGGAACTAGTTAAAACAATGATATATGTCATTTCCATTTTAAGTGGTAAATTAGCTACACAATCTGCAAATCTTCGATTTATGAAACTCATGAGCTAATTCAAGATGAGGAAAAGAATCTTATGACTTCAATCACTTACATCTGGCTGGTTGTGCTGACAAAACTTCTTATAGGATAATGATGATAATGATAATAGCTAGTATTTATACAGCATTTTAAGATCTACAAAGGGTTTTTAAAAATATTATTTCATTTGATGCCCATGGCAATCCTGGGAGGTAGGTGCTATTATTATACCCATTTTAGAGATGAAGAAACTGAGGCAAGCAGAGGTTGAGTGTCTGACTAAGAACACACCCAGCTAATAAGTATTTGACATTGGATTTGAACTCAAGTCTTCTGGAGTCCAAGTCTAGTATTCCATCTTGTTCACCACCTAACTGCCTTAGTAATAGAGGCTGATGTTCATAGAGTACTCTAAGGTTCACAACATGCTTATATATACCATCTCAATTCACCAAAGTAGCCTACATTCAGAAACATGATGAGTCAGTAAAAATGCTAGAATTTGAACCCAGGTCTTTAAGTCCAGAATATTTTCCATTAAGACATGCTATTTTCCCTGTACAGTATACTTTATCATTGTACTATAAAGATTTTAGGTCAGGCACTGAGAATTTTAGAAACAATTGGGCCACAAAGATTGTATCAGAACAGTAGCAGTAATGATAAACTATTTATCTACAAGCACCATAAAAAGATCATGAGAATTTGCACTTCACCAAAAATGAGAGGCTATAAAAGAAAAAAAAGTATATTTTATACCAAATATGTGTAAAATGTAAATACCAAAATAAGTGCTTTTCAGAATGCTCAGAATGCCCTAAAAGCACAGTAAATGATGCGCTCCTCTAACTTTCAGGAGTCAATATAAAATCCTCTATTTGGCTTCCAAAGCTCTTCACAACCTGCTCCCAGCTCCCAATCTGCCTCTCCATTCTTATTTTATACCTCCTTCCCCTCCACATACTCTCCAGTCCTTCCATCAGCACTGGCCTCCCAATCGTGGGTCTTCTCCCTGGCTGGCCCCCATTCCTGAAATGTTTTTCCTCCTCATCTCCACTTCTTTTTTGTTGTTGTTGTCATTTTGTTTTGTTTTTTGTTTGTTTTTTTGTTTGTTTGTTTTAGCTAGGCAATGGAGTTAAGTGATTTGCCCAGGGTCACACAGCCAGTAAGTGTCAAGTATCTGGGGCCGAATTTGAACTCAGGTCCTCCTGACTCCAGGGCCAGTGCTCTATCCACTGTGCCACCTAGCTGCCCCCTCATCTCCACTTCTTCCCTGGTTTCTTCAAGACTCCATCAAAATCCCATCTTCTGTCTTTCCCAATGTCTCTCACTGCTAGTATTATCCTTTTGGGATTATCTTCCATTCACATCATTTGAATCGTTATAATAAACATTTACAAATTCTTGCATGTGTCTCCCCATTAGAATGTGAATTCCTTCAAGGCATGGGCCACAAGTTTTCCTTTCTGTTTCTCCTCTGAACCCCTGCAATTAATTAGCACTGTGCCTGGCAAAAAGTGAGGGTATAATAAATGCTTGTTAATTTTGTGACTGACTATATCTTGATCTATAATCAAAATTCCCAGTTTTCATAACTGAACACCACAAAGTAAAAATGTTTATCAGAATCAAACATGATATAGTACCTTTACAGAGAAAAGCTACAAAAAACCCAAGGACATCCATGTCTGCATACATCTATTTAGTGCATATGTGCATAATAGAGGTAGCTAGGTGGAACATTAGAGTGTTGAACCTGGAGTTAGGAAGATCTGAGTTCAAATCTAACCTCAAATAACTGTGTGGCAATGGGCAAGTCACTTAACCTCTGCCTGCCTCAGTTTCCTCATCTGTAAAAGTGGATGATAAAACTCCCAAGATAGTTATGAGGATCACATGAGACAACATATATGAAGCACATTACAAACCTTAAATTAATTTATAAATGCTAGCTATTATGAGACCTGTCATGTGAAAACCTTATCTCCTCACAAATATACTTTCTCTTGTTAGGTGCATTCCATCCCTGGCTAAGAGTTCAACATTCCCATATCTTATGCCACTGTTCAGAAATCTTTTGCAGCTATCACTGTACTAACCAGCTATTTATTTCCCAAATCTATCTTTATAATCTAAAACATCTACATTCAATTGGTAGCAGTGAAGAAAACACTACCAATAGTCCCTAAACTCTTAGATTTCTTGCCCAGAATTTCATATTACATACTTAACACTCATCCTCACAACTATTCTGCCCATCAATCAATAAGCATTTATCAGGAGCCTACTATGTGTCAGGCACTGTACTAGACACTGGCAATACAAATGAATAAATGAAACAATCCCTACTCACAGGAGTTCATATTTTGACAAGCTATATAGTCGTCTGTGTTCAAGTTTGATCAGACTACATAGGAAATTTTTTCATCAGATGAGTACCGCAGTTAAAGAAAGAGGGAAGTATTTATTAGGCACCTACTATATGGCAGGCAATGTGCTAAGCACTTCACAAATGTTATCATTTAATCCTCACAACAAACCTGGTGATAGATGCTATTAATATTATCATTTTAGAGTAGAGGAAATGGATACCAAGATAGATTAAGTGACCTGGGCATCACAGCTAGGAAGTATCTGAAGCTCCATTTTAATTCAAATCCAACTACAGCCCCAGCATCCTATCCTCCAGGGGAAAGTATTAAGGATGGTAAGAGAGCTAGAAAATATGCTATTTGAGGACTGATACAACTGAAGACATTTAGCTTGCAGAAAGGAAGCCGTGTTGAGGATTATCATGATAGCCAACTTCAAATCTATGAAGGGTTGGTAATGGGGAAGATGGATCAGACTTCTTCTACTTGACTTTAGAGGCCAGAACTAGGAACAATATAAAGAAGAGAAGGGGGAAAGTTGCATAGAGGTAGGTTTATGCTGGATATAGGGAAAAACTTCCCAGGAACATAAGTTGTCCAAAAAATGAGCTACCCCAGAAGAATTTCCCTTTAATGAAGTTCTTTAATCAAAGACTGAGTCAATCAATCAATTAACAAGCACCTATTAAGTACCAAATATGTGCCAGACACTCCATTGGCACTGGGGGGTATAAATGCACAAAAAAGGGGAGGGGAGAGAAGGAAAGGAAGGAAGGAAAGAAACAAAGAAAGAAAGAAAAGAAAAGAAAAGGAAAAGAAAAAAAGAAAAGAAAGAAGACCTGCTCTCAAGGAGCATCCATTCAATCAGGGGAGACAACAGGAAGCAATTTTTGGAATACTGGAGACTTTCCTATTCCAATATGGGCTGGACGAGATGCCCTCTGAAACCGAGCTTCTGAGATTCTGTGATGGCGCTTGACATGCCATTGAGCACCAGTTAAACTTGAGATTGTTATTATAGAAAAACAATGGCAAACAAAATCATAAGGGAGTTGTTAAAAACACTTCATAAATTAAACTATTTTCAAGCATCCTCAAGCACTTCAGTAGAATAGATTTACATACCCCCAGTTGGTACAGTAATCACAGATCAGTCGTCCCCTTATTATAACAAGTGTCCTAGGGGCCTCCACTAAACAACAATTTGAACCACTGAGCTATTAGTCTAGTTTCCCTACTGTACATGTAGAAATAAGAAGAAGGCATTTCTTTTAAAATAGTTTATCATTCAGACTTTTCCCTAGACACAGATGTCTTTAATTTTTACTGTATCCATAAAGCACCTAATATAATATAAAGTCACGTGAAATTGTGGGGGTAGGGTAACTGGGGAGGGCCTAAACCTTTGATTTCATTGGTAAAGAGACTTTCCAGTGTGAGAAATCCCTTTACTCATGCAGATCAGCAAGTGGTGTCTTAGAGAATTTTCCACAGGTACTGAGGGGTTAAGCAATTTGCCCAAGGCCACACAGCCAGGATGTGTCAGGGAAAGAACATGAAGGCAGGCCTTCTTGACTTGGGAGACTAGCCCTACCATCCTCATATTCCTTCTTGATCCCACCCTCCTCAAATAAATATGCATATAACTAGTTATCTGTTCATATTTAGAATCTCCTAATTATCTTCTAAAAATCTAAAAATCTTCTAGAATCTTTAGAAATTCTTGAAGCCAGGAAGAATTTTTTGTTCTGTCTTTGTATCCCCAGGGCCTGGCTTAGTGTTTTACCCATAGTATGGACCTAGTAAATGTTTATTAAGTTGGACTGGATTGACTTAACCTCATCTGTAAAATGGGCACAATTATCCTACATGATCTCCATCACAGAGTTTTTTGTGATGGTTAAATAAAATCATGCATGTAAAATGTTTAGGAAACCTTAAAGCAATATGTCAAATGTTTGCTAAACCATGCCTCTCTCTAGAACAATATTAGAAAACAACAACTCATAACTACATAACAGTTTAAGGTGAGCATAGTGCTTTTTTTTACAAAAATCCTGTGAAGTGAATAGTGCAAGTATGCTTGTTTTGAAGATGAGAAAAACTGAATCTCATAGAGGTTATGGGACATTTCCAAGGCATGTAGCTAGGAGTTATCTAATGCAGGATTCAAATACTCTAACAAACACCCTTACTTTAACCTACCATACCTATCCTGCCTCATGCTGGAGCTACTCTTTGCTTTCTATAAGGTTTACAAAGATATTTATCCAAAAGCAATAATATTCTGGCCTGGAAAAGAAATTCCGCCCGTGAGCTAATAGGCCAGTGTATTCCTGCATTCATCTGAACAACATTATTCCAATGAGAAAGGGAAAAGTTAAAATCCTGCTCTTGTATTTATTCAGACAGCCAAAAACAGTAGAAAAGAACATAGTGAGAAAATGACCCATTCCCTTCAAGGCAACGGGAGCATTTGCTTTAAAAACTTCTTTCTTAGTGTCTGAAAAACCCAATGGATAAGATAGAAGGCTCGATCAAGGAGGTTTTCATCTGATTAGGTCTCTCATCAGGGGAGCCTAACCTAAAAACATCCAGAATAATATCAGAGGAGAGGCAGAATATCACAAACAACTAGTCATTACTGTTCCTAATCATAACGCTTCCTATCTATTTACAACTACAGCTGGCAAAGTGGATTTTTTTTAATCCCTCTGCATTCTGCATGCTTAGGTGTATATCCTATACCTAAAGAAAAGTAAAGTGAAAAAAAGCACTATATCAATAGGAAATGTGTATGTAATCACAATTATGTCCATTTAATTAATCATAATTCCTTTGAAATAAGTTTCCACTAATGGCCAAAAAGTTGAAAAGAGTAGCAAATACTACCAATATCAATAATTCAGAAGAAGACTTAGGTGCATACTATACAATATTGGTATTAACTGTTTTTAATACAAGTGTTTTAGGAAAGGGAGAACAAATAAATTTTTTATTTCATAAAAAATCCTTTGATCTTTGTAAAAAACAAAATTTCCCTTTACCTTCTCTTTAAAGAAGCCTAAAATGCATGGTTCTTGTTCAAGCTGGGATTTTAATATTTTGAACCACATGGGAAACATTTTCAATTAATTTATGAATTAAATAACAAGAAAACAATGCATGACTTACTTCTGGACACCCTCACAAGTTCTGCCACGTTGAAGACTCCAGATTTTACAAAACTGTCCTCAAGGTACCCTGAAAAGGAACATTGGAAATAATTAACATGTACAAGAAAGCAATGGAATGGTTTAGAAATCAGGATGGGTTCAAACTTCTTAAACTGCAGAAAAAACAGTGGTTAGGAAGATAACAGAGACTACCTTCAGCCAACAACAGGAAGCTCTATAAATTCAAAGTCTTCTGGAAGTAAATATAGTTTGTTCAGACAAACTTGTATTTAACATTTAAGTAATCACATTTTGAAGTATGTCATTGGCTTACCCCCTCTCTTCTTCTGTAACTCTCTTTCTTCCTGGAGTAGTACTCCCATTCTGGCAGAGACTGGAGCTCCACAACACCCCTCCTACCCCTGCTGGCCATTGTGGAAGACATTTAGTCACAGACTGAATTCTACCCCATAATCTGGGCCAAGAGCAGAGTCCCCCCAGGAGGTTTATCTTGGTCTAGAGTAGTCCCATGAGGATTCAAATCTCCCCAAAATATTAGTTGGTTCAGTAGTAGGGCTCTGATTTACATCCCTGATGGGGATGTGATAGGGACTGCTCAGAGAACAAAGGCCTGGTTTTGACTGCAATGTTTCTTAAGAGATTTGAAGCTACTTAAGGAGTCCTCAAAAATTGAAAAAATTCTAGGAGAGCAAAAGATTCCAAAAGCTGGTGAGGAGAAAGATCCAACAGCATGAAACCAGGCACAGATATTAGAAACATCTGCCAAAGGAACCACTACAGCTTAGATCCACTCAAATGGTGGACACTGAACTGGAGAGTTTACTAAATGTCCTGGTAATTTTCTTTCAAGCATCTTTCCAGAAGAAAAATCATTAAACTGTCTTTTAACCCTGTAGGGATTTGTTTAAAAGACACACCACCATTCAATTATCACTTAACCTCTCTCTGCCTCAGTTTCCTCATCTGTAAAATGAAGCTAATGGTAGTACCTACCTCATAGAGTTGTTATGAAGTAAGGTATTGCATTATAAAGCACTTTGTAAAACATAAAGTGTTCTATAAATGTTTGCTATTATCATATGTATGTCTGGAAATTTTCTGTCAATTTTGATTTTTGGTAAACAATTCAGAAACACTGTCATCTTCTGAATTTTGAAGATATTGCCAATAAACATTGTCTTGAAACTATGTAGCAGTTTCACAACTATCAGCATAATTTAGGGGCATTTGGTTCTAAAGTCATTTTCATGTCAGAATACTAGAAGCACTAATCGACTTAGTATGACATTCAAGGTCTTTCATATTTTGGCAGCAACCAACTTGACAGCCTTAGCTCTCCTCATTTCCACCTCCTGCATAATTTAATCTAGTCAAACTGCAATTTAAATTCCACAAATATGCCTTGTGCTCTCCATACTCCGATCATTCTGACCCCTTCTTCTAGAAGGCCCTCCCCACTATCTCTACCTATCAAAATCCTATTCAAGGTACAGTTAAAATGCCACTTTATGCCTTTTTAGGTTACTTAGATCAGAAGTGAGCTCCTCCCCTGAACATTTACATCACTTTTGTTTGTACCACTTCCATTCTTTTATTAAATGACTTGTATTTCATATGTTTATATATCTTCTCACTCATGATAGCCATAGAATGTTGGCATTGGAAACCTTGATCACAGGTTATCTTGCTCACAACTCCCTAATTTTATATATGAGAAATTGAAACTCAGAGTGATAAAAATAATTTGCTCAACAGGTGCAGTGGTTAGAGCACTGGGATTGGAATCTAGAAGACTTATCTTCATAAGTTCAAATTTGGCCTCAAACACTTACTACCTGTATGATCCTGGGCAAGTCACTTAACCTTGTTTGCCTCAGTTTCCTCATCTGTAAAATGAACTAGAGAAGAAAATGGCAAGCCACTCTAGTATCTTTGCAAAGAAAACCCCAAATGGGGTCATGAAGAGTAAGACAGGACTGAAAAACAACTCAGCAACAACATGAAAACAGTTATGGGAAGAGCTGTAACTATAATTGAATAATAGAATCTCATCATCGGAGTGTGAGAGACTTTGCAGAAGTGCCAGCTGGACACCAAGGCGGATAAGGCTCACAGATGTCCACAGTAGTGAATCAGGCTAAAAAGAGTGGGCCAGAATTTACACCTGCTGATAACGGAGTAGCTACAGTTGGAAATCAGGTGCTAGGTGTCTGAGAATGAGCATGTTGGGAGTAGAACACAATTTATCTAGAGGATAGAGTGTGCGTTTGGGATTAGTGGATACTCCTGGTATGAATTAGGGAAAGTGAGTGGTTAGTAATACAAACTAACCAAGTATGAGTCAGTGCATGAGTTGGGGGTAGGGAGCAAGTGCTTGGGTGTGGATTCCTGGACTAATGGAGGGCACATTTTAGGCCTTCAGGGGAAGATGCCTCCTAGAGAATAACTTCCATTAGAGAGCACAGGGATTGTGAGAATTAAGGCATCACACAAAGGCAGCTGCCCCCAGCCTACAACCAGCTGGCAGAATTGAGTGTGCACTGGGTCTGACTGCCAAACCCCACAGAGAGGTTTTAGTATCTAGGGACTATGATGACAAGCTCTGGCATATATAATATCTGATTGGCATAGTTATGAACCTTCAGTAGTCTCCACATGGGAAAAGAAAGTACTTGGGGGAAGGCAAACAAGCCCAGTGCTGCAATGCCTAAGTGTTTTTCTGAGTGGGTCAGTTACAGGAAGGATTTCAGAGGTCACTTAGTATCCAACTGGTATCTGAAATGGAAACAGTTGTACAATCTCTCCAATGAGTGATCATGTAGTTTTAAAATGAAGATGTCTAGTGTGGTAGAATGCCCTACTTCCTAAAGTAATCTACATTAGGATAATTATGGCATGGTCATTCTCCTTTCATCATCCTAGTTGCTTTCCTTTGGACTCAGTTCAAGTACATCTGTCAAATAGATGGAAAAATATGAAGCATCAGTTAAGATGTCAGACTGAGAAAAAATAAACAAAACTTGAGCGTTATCAGAGTAGAGGGTCCAGTACAAAACCATGAAAATAAATGGAGAACACAGGAAAAAAAATAAGGGACTAAAGACTGATCAAATGGAATGCTTGTAGGAGGTCCATATGAATAATAGAATCATGTGATTTTAGAGTTAAAAGGGAGATCATCTAGTCCAACAGCTTCAGTTTACTTATTGAGGTCCAGAGAGATTAAGTGAATCATCCAAAGTCAAGGAACTTTGTGGAAAAAGAGGAGGAGAAAGAATACACCATAACCGAAGTCACGGTAAACAGGGTTTCCAAAAGTAAGGGTGCTTATTTGTGCTGAACTAAAGAGAATTCAAAGAGAGAGAAGATTTAACAAGAAAGTTCTCCCTGCTCTATTTCGAGAATAATGAAAGCAAACTAAACAAAGCAGCTATCAAAACTTTAACTCATAAGTAAATCAGATTGCAGAGGATTAAAATGACAAAAGGTAGTAAGAAAATAGAGAGCAAGCAGGTAGATCATTAATTGAGTGTTTGACTACAAAGAAGAAAAATAACCATGTCCAAAGATTTTTTTTCAAGACAAGTAATACTTGAATAGTGGAAGGAATTCAAGACAAGAAATATATGAAGAATGAACAATTAGGAGAAGATACAAAAAACAAATTCACATCTACCTCAATGCCTGAAAAACTGGAGGTAATCTTAAAATGCCCCCAGACTTGTGCTAATAATTTACTGGAGAAAAATAAGTGTTCAAAATATATCTGAGACCTTCCCTACACCTCAGCCTAATTTCTGAGAACATAACATTTCTTTTTCTACATACTTTGTAAGAACTTTTATCTAAAAAAGACTGTTAGAATACTTACAAAAGAATTATAATGACTGATTAGATTAGATGGTACAAAGTTCCATATATTAGGCTAGAATGCTTTACAGGGTCATTGGGTGATCCTCGCCCTTGAAGGAGATGCCAGGAGAATACAAGCTTTGGGAATTCTTACCAAGCTGGAAAGGCTTTGAGTATGGCCCAGTGACAGACCATCTGTTGTCTAAGAACCATTCTAGCTAAGTTTGGAGAGGATCATTACCAGGTTGGCCAGAGGATGATGAATTTGGGGAACATAGCACCTTACGAAGACCCCCACCAATGAAATGAAAGAGCTCTGCATTACTAAAGTGTACCCAAATGTCTTACACTCAGGCCAAAGGGCCATAAAGGAATTAGGAGGTGCACACATGGTAAATGTACTCCTTCAACTAAAGAAAATGAAGCCACTGCTGAAATAGAGCATTTATTTTTTATCATTATTTGTTAATTATATCATAGTATTACATAACAGTTTCAGTCAGGAGAAAAAGAATGATTCTATATCCATCTGGAGCTATATTTCTACTACATGGGTTTCTTTTTAAAAAAAAGGCATAGGAAATAAAGACTTTGCGAACTGAAAAATATCAAAGCCAGTTTAAATTATATTATTTATCTTATTTCTTTTTTTTCATTTTTGCTGTTACAAAAGCAGTAGTGAATCAGTGTTCTGAATTTGATACAGTGTTTAACTTCTTTTATAAACAATGACCTAGGGACACAATAGCATAATTTAACAGTTAATATCTGAAATTATAATCAGCACCATTTTAATTTCAAAAAAACATTTACATAAAAAATCCAAATCAAGATTGATGCCATTCACTTTTTAAAGGCTTCTTTGCTCTGTTTTAGGAATAATGAAAGCAAGCTACTATAGAAAGCAGTTATTAGATTCTTAACTCCTGAATGTAGGTAAAACACTATGTTTCTAGTTTTTATGAACATTTTGGTAGCAAGAAAATCTTGGAGGGAATGCTACTGAATATATATTTCAGCATTTAGCACAATGCATGGCACAATTTTTTAAACTAATTTCCAAACTGTACCATTTCAACTGTGCATTTATACAGAAATATCAATATAATCTTTTAAAGACTTTGGTACTGGGCACAAGGCTTAGGAGGGTGAAAAGATAATCCAGAATCAAGGCTTGGAAGGGATTTTTAGTGATCATCTAATCTAAGCCACTCA